CATGTTTTTTTGAATCTCGATCGCTTAGTAAGGCGTTGAGAAGGACGACGCGAAACGACAACCAGCTCTCATAATTACGATTCGAGGTGATGTTTAATGTTTTTGTATCAAGGCTGGTACTTGCATAAAGAAAAAGAAACCTCATTTTTAACATTATGTATGGCAAATTTTGGTTTGACGGCGACCTTTATGTTCGAAATCTGGACGCCAGAGTGTAGCTCCGCCAGTACTAGTCGCTTTCACAAAGGGATTTTTTTTTCTTTTCTTGATAGAATGGTACTTTTTCTTTCATCTTTGGGCCTTTTTTTTCCCTTTTTTTACCAAGGACTTTCTTTCGTCTCTGGTTTTTCCATGAAAAAAGATCTTTCCATAAGCAAAGAGCTTCCACGTGTGAATTAAGTAAAGTGCGCGGGGTAAACAAAATATGGAAATAACATGAAAAAATGAGTCCCAACATGAGCGGCTGCCGCGGAAATTCCCTTAGGGATTTTGCCCTAGGTCCGAGGTATGACACCTTACTGATTTGTTAACTTTTACTTGAAAATATGTTTTTTCTAAATATCTTGAGTGTTTTTAAAGATTTCAGATTTTTTTATGGAAACGTTAGGTTGAATGTTTGAATTCAGTTTAGTCAAGTAAAATAAAAATCGATATTTTCGGCCTCTGAAGGTGGGAAGTAACCTAAATCAAGAGGGAAACCTTGGAACCCTAACTATATGGAAACAATAGACCGCACAATCAGGTAGTGTTAGGCCTTAATCAGCCGTACTCCTTATTGACTAAAACGAAAAAGTACATAAAGAGACAATCGGACGAAATAGTTCACTTATGGTCAAAGCATATTTCCCGAAATTTAGTGCAAATCTGCAGAACATATCCGCGAATTTATATGGAAAAAAAATTAAAAATAAATATGAAATAGTTATTTTTCAAGCCGAGTCACGGTTAAGCCTTTAGGCTTTTCGCTATGGATTCTAACTTGGCAAAGCAAAGGAAGATTTACTCGAGGAGACTGGAAAGGAATTGTGCTCAAACAGAGACAGAGGCCTCAGCCTATTGGAAATAAATGATCTGTCTCCATCCCAGTAAATTAGAACTGAACTTGTTTCTGTAGTTAAGAGTTTAATATAGTATTGTCAGCTAAGTTGATAACGCAAATTGCCCACTATAAAGGGTTTTAAAGCTGACGTTTCGGACCTTAGCCCCTCTTCTTTCGCTCTGACGAAGGGCTAACGCTCGAAACTTCAGCTTCGAAACTCTTTTTGGTGGCCACTTTTCGTTATTAACTCAGTTGATAATACTAAATTATCCTGTTATACTATCCGGAGCACCAAATTTTCTTTGGAAACTTAATCCCTTTATTCATCTGTAGTTAAGACATAGCCTTCTAAAAAAGTCATGCAAAGCATGTAGCAGGCGGATTACAAAGTTTAGGTTCTCCTTATATTTAAACTCTAAATATTGCCTTCCAGACTCTCTCATCCAGCTTCTTCTTCAAGCACCCTGAAAAATGTTAAGCAAAAACCTTGATTAAACCGCATTGTTATATGAAGATCATTATGATTTCTAAAAAAAGAACCAAGAAACAGCTGGTAAAAGACTATGTGCGCATTGTCGAAATGCTCCTAAACTTAATGATGTCTGAGAAAATGTCTGGAACCTCAGGAAATTGATTGTAAGGATTCTTTGCTAAAAGCCTCTCCGCCCTACAAGATCTAATTTGTGAACTTGAGGCAGTTAATACTTGTTTATTATTTGTTCTGAAAACCTCATCTTTGTTGTTCAGACTTATTTAATGATTTCAAACACAAGACGGGCTCTGAGCGGTTGTGAAAGCAGAAAAGTTAATAACGGTAACAGCAGGTAACATCATGGCACGTTAACGACGCAGTTATACTACTATGCTGCTGGCTGGCTTGAGAGGGAAGCTTGGATCTTTACCAGCTGAGTTACTTACTTGTTTTAGATTTCGCAAGCTTTTGATACGAGCTCCATTTGAAGTCTATCGATGTCGTTTATCTCTTGATCCAAAAGAATACGGTCTTTGCTTCCAGTGATTTCTTTTAAATTCTCAACGTCGACACTGTCTCCAAAACCAACACCTACGATTCTCACCCGTTGAGCCTGCAGAGGTTTTACAGCGGTAGCTAACGGATAATATCCGGGATCTTCAGACTGACGTCCATCCGAGACCAGAATTAAGACCTGGGAGATATAATGATAGCATTGGCCTAAGCATGAATACCATCATACGATTTGCAACTACCGTACAAAACCGAATCAACGGGATAAGAATTATTAAAGATGGGTGGAAACATTAATTAAGACACATTCTAACAAAAAAGACTTGAAACAATTATCCAAGTCACAACTGATGTGTCAAAAAAGTTATTTTAGAGACTTTCTTTACTTTTCTTACTTACCCTTGGAACTCCACTCCGTCTATTGGTAAAGAAATCTTGTGATACTGCCCTTAAAGCCAGGTCTATTCTTGATCTTCCATCTTGGAATGTTGCTTGAGCCACATTTGCTTGAAATTGCTCGATCGTTTTACTTTCGTAGTCAGCAAAGTCGACGAATAGCTTTGGCGTATCACTGAACACCAGGAGACCAAGTCTCGTGTTAGGAGATGTGGCTGCAAAACGTCTGGAAACCAGCTTTACGAAATTCTTCTCTCTCGAAAACGTGTCCATCCCCACACTGCCAGATGCATCGATTACAAATCCCACATCAAGGGTCTCGTGACATGGATCTGTTATTGTCGTTTCTTTGAAGAAATAAAAAAAAAAACGTGAACTCAGTTTCCAAAGTGATTCATGTAAAGGTAAACGTATTTAAAATTTCTATTAAAAGGCCCCTTGTTACTTCCTTTCTCGTATTCTTTTATAAAGAGGGTACGTTGAGTCAAGTAGATCGGGCTCGTGGCAGGAAGCAGGTCGGGGGGGGTGGCAGACTAATGCCTTAAGCGCTGTTTACACACGCTATAAAGGATAGGCCTGCAATCAGGAAGGAATTTTAAGTAGCGTCTTTGTATTAGCAGCTGAGTCGTTAGCCGTCAGAGTCCACGGGTCAATTGCCAGGAAGGTCCCTTATCTTTCCCTGAGGCGCAAAAAAAATGGTCAAAACCAGCCAAGTCCTTTTTAAGATTTATAATGCTTTTATATATTCCTAACCGTAAGACAGAATCCCTGCGTAATATGGGCAAAAATTCTCAGCTGAATTAATGTCATTTTCAGTTAATTTTTTTCTAAAGCGCGTTGACAGGCAAATCTTTCAGGTTTTCCATAAGACTCAGTCACTCCAGTCACTCGAATTAAGCATGAGGTCTAGTGGTCGGTAGATTTACCAGTAAAGGGGATAAGTTGCTAAAGAAACTGAAGGGGGGGGGTGGGGGGGTGGGGTGTTATAAGATAATCGGTTTTACCAACTGAGTTGATAATGTAAATTGAAATTTTCTAAAGCTGACGTTTCGAATATTAGCCCATGGCTTTGTCAGAGCGAAGGGCTAACGCTCGAAACGGCAGCTTAAGAAATTTTAGGGTGCCAATTTATATTATTGATTCAGTTGATAAGTAGAGAATAATACATGAGCGTATGTCGATATGCAATTTCTCTCCGAGTTGAACGCGAGAAGAGAAATTTCATATCTACAAGCAACCATGAATTATTTTGTTTATCAAATAAACACAATAGCCCTTTACTGACAAGAAAAGTCGACTTAATCAGCGAATAAAAAATAAAAGACTCGACAATCCCCGAATAAAAATCGTAATGTGCGTTAGCGCTAAGGCCCAAGAAGAAAAATGCGTTGAGTCACTTAAAAAAAAAACAATGGGCGTAATTTTCCACATACAAAATTCTCAGTTATTGGTTTGGTCCTCACTGACAGAAGAAATCTTCCAGGTACACTGCCAAAATCGGCGTGTGGCAAATTCTCAGCCGCGAGAAATGCCATCAACAAAGCCACTCAATACGTAACTTTCGGTTTTCCTTTTCCTATTTCGGTTTTCTTCTCGTTCTAGGAAATTTTAAACGTCACAGTGTGTAAGCGGAACGGATTTTCGGTATTTTAGGAGCCATTATCCGAGAAAATTTCGACAAACAACCATGGATTTAGAAGAGTGAGGGTTTTGCCGTTCATTCATCAACCTGATTGATTGGCGCGAAAGGCAAGTGACGTGTCAGCAGCTGATTGGCGATATCAAACACACG